GGGCTCAGTTCTTGCCTGTTTGGGATGTGCAATAGCTCATTTTCATCGCATTATCAAGCCCTACCGATCCCGCCCATCCGCCCGGCGCGCCTGGCGCTACTTCGCGCGCTAGAAGCGCTGCATTACACTCTGCCTGGAGTATGGTCACTTTGGCCCATCTGCAATGATGTAAATCTAGTTGGACCTCTTCAAGACCTCCCTTTGGACACTGTGGGCATCAGGCCATGCCAGAGCATCGCCTCCACACCCCATATGGCCCTGGTCATGTGTAGCAGCCCTCCAGGTTCAGATCCTGTGGACTTTCAGTCATGATATGCATTGCTGCCACACCCTGATACCTTTGAGTACACTTTCTATTCCTTCTATGACTGTGATTGTGACTGTGATGAGTTTGACTGGCCCCTTTTGTTCCTGATTGAGATGTGTCTGCTGTTTTTCTGTCTGAACCCCCTCTAATCCCACATCTCTTCTCAGCATATGGACGGACCATAAATTACTCATTACTTTTACAGTTGATCTATTCCAGGCGTAAATAGATCTTAAACAGGGGGTAATGTCATGGTTTCACCCCATCAGACCCTATTATTTTCCGGCATTTTCCGTTATTTACCTTTGTTTATTTTCTGATTTCCCTTATAAACCCCCACTCCCAGGCTCTTGTTCTGCAGCTTTTCACTCTGTACCTACCACCTAGGGTTGCCTCCATCAATGCACTAGCTTGCCTTCATCTCTTGAGCAGCCACAAGGGACTCTTCACCCTCCTAGAGGCATCCCTAACACCAGGTTTCTGGGGTGCAGCCAGCCACAGTGTGTGTGTTTTCGCACTCGCCTGCTGACGGTCTGAACATCGGTGGTTACTCCCTTCACTCCGGTGGTGCCACCTGGTTCGCAATCCTCGGGTTCTTGGATGTCAGGATCCAAGCCCTTGGTCGCTGGTCCAGCGAAGCTTTTTGGCGTTATATACGCAAACACCCATTCCTTTTACAAGCTCTTATCCACTCCTGTTGTGACAATCGACTAGACAATCACTGATCTCTTGACCTCACATCTCTTCGCACCACCAGCCTCCCTTCCCCCTCCACTTTTCACACATCTATGGTCGGTCTCACAAATCAAATATTATTGTTGGGCACACCCCCGGGCGCATTGCTTTCCTGTATACTTCACCGCATGAACTCCACCTGTGAGGAACGCACTCAACGGATCCGGAATGATTAGAGGGTGCCCAGATGAGTTCCTGGCAATTTCCGAGGCATTTCTTCGATGAATTAATAGTTGATTGAGATAGATGGCCTGATAGAGACTAGAGTATTGCTCTGAGTATAGACATGGTATGTACCATTCTGACGCAAATTTCAAGGTGAGTCTGATAATGGAGTCTATGAGGAAATTGGTGTACCCATTCCCACGGTACAGTCCAATCATTGCCCAAGATGGCTGATAATATCTTGATATAGTACTCCTGACTGTTGTTTTGTGCCCAGTAGTCATATGACACATACTCCTACGCTTAAATCTTTCCAACAGATACAATGGAGTACTCTGTTTGGTGATCTAGTCTTTGGTTCTCCTAAAATGATCTCATTTTTATTATTTGAGTCAATGATTGAACTATACCGTGGGAATCAGTACACCATTTTTCAAATGGACTACACCATCAAACACACCCTTAAATTTGCGTCAGAATGGTCTACACAATGTCTATGCTCAGAGCAATACTTCAGTCTCTACCAGGTCATCTATCTAAATCAGCCATTAATTTGTCAGAAAATGCCTCGGCAATATCCGGTGACACCTCGAGGACTGCCTGAAGTCTCGCCGGGGACCCATCTGGGCACCCTCGATGGGTTCCTGGCAATTGCTGAAGTTCAGCCAACGATTAATAAAGCTCTAGCAGCCTTGAAACTTGATGGTTTTGCTCCGTTTTTTTTGCATTTTAGCTTTGAACAGGTAGTAGAGTACAATGACAGGGCGGTATATGCTGTATACCGTGGGAATACCAGACAGTTGCCATCAATATCCTCTCAAAGCTATAAATTGTAATTTTTTTTACAATATGTGGCTACAGCATTGGTCAAAGTTCTGTTCAGATATGATCACTACTATACACCATGGGAAAATGAGCCATTGGCAATCATTTTTTCTAGAGTAGTACAATGTTTGGAATATATGTGGATTTCATCTAGCTACAAACCAAATCAGCATATAACTATACTGTGGGAATTTTACGCAGTTGCTAATACGTGGATTTCATCTAGCTACAAACCAAACCAGAATATGACTATATTGTGGGAATTTTACGCAGTTGCTAAAATTATAATTTTTTGAGAAGTCGTTTCAGTGATCTTTAGCTATATGGCCAACTATTTTTGTGTACATATTCCTTACCGTGGCATCACTATACAGGTATTAGCAATTTACCTTCTATGGTGTAGGTTCAAACTACAAAAGTATGCTACTATACTATTGTGATGTTCTCTATCTCATAATACATTCAAATCCTTCAAAGAGGGTTAGTCAAAAATTGACATCTACAGTAATTGAACCCATGACCTTGTGCAAAGCTGAAAATGAACATATTATCCAACTCAGCTATAGGCTCATATGGTAGTAGCCTATCAATATAATCATATCCCAGGAATGAATCATATCGAACAGATTGCTGTAGTATATAGCTGCATTAACAGCGGATTCAGTACTGGGTTAGCTAGAGAGGTGTTCTTGCAAGCTAGGAGAGAGTTGACTAGAGACTTTGGATATCGCCTTGTATAGTGAGCACAGGGTGGCAAGAATACAAATGTGCATCTGGAGAGCTATCAAAAAGAAGTTTGAGTCACTATTCTTGACTCAGGAGCAGTAGTAGTATATACCTGTAAGCTGTCAGCAATGGCTAGGCGGCCGCTTACTAACACAGACAAAGGGGCGAGCAAATATACCAAGGCAAGCGGCTAGGTAGCCGGTGTATTGACTAGATCAAGGTTAAAGGTAAGTTACAAGCGAGAGCGCAGTCATATATAGATAAGGCGAGACAAACAGATGCAAACAAAGGGTAGAAACTAGATAAGTTATTCGTGAGTCATGGGATTGCCGAGTCATGTGAGAGTCCAGAAAAGGAAAAGGAAAGGGAAAAGAATAATGGATAATTGGGTGTCCGTAAGATAAGCTAAGGGCATTCTTCAGCTTATTTTCTGTTTTGAGGTGCCACATGTCTACGGCATTCAGGTCCTGAGGCTTGGCGGAAGTTAAGGTCTTCTTCTTCATGGTATGCTGATTAGTGTGATCTATGCAACAGTGTTTCGAGCCACTAGCTGTTCCTGACTTGGTGGTCTCAGCTTCAGGCTGTGTGTTCTCAATATTGACATCTATGGGAGGTGGTGGTGTAGGGAAGACAAGCTAGAGAGAAGAGCAACTAGCAAATAAAGCTTGTATCCTTTGTTCAAGGCCGCTCAGTCACATGGTATTTGCATGGTGTCATGAAGGGCAAGCATCCATATGATCTATCTATATTATACTGACACCTCAGTCAGGCCATATATCTGCTCACACAAAAGAGAGTGGGATTTCAGAACTACATATATAGACAAGGTGAGTTGAGGGCCGGTTTTAATTACTAGATAACGCGGACAATATGATGGTTTGAAGCAACACGTCATTGTGTTGTAGCAGTGGCGCACTGCGTGTTTGCCATGGTCCGGCCATCACGTGACTTAGCAATATCTTTATTCTTTTCCTTTTTCTTTTCTTTTCTGATTTGGCATCTCGGCATTCCGGCACACGGACTCCGGACTCGCATGACTCACACCGCTCACATATGACTCGGCCCACTTACACACCCTTCCCTTGTCAGCGGGGCCCGGCTCGCTCAGTCATCCACTTGCTTGTCCGTCTTCGTCATCCCATTCCCGCACTGCCTTAGCCTGTATATAAGACTCTTCCCCTATGTACTCTAGCTCCTTTAGTTCGTCCATCTTGCAATCCAGCCTGTTGATGTTATCCTCTGCTCTTTGTCTGTATCTTGCACACTCCTGTGCTTGATAACTGTCTGTCTATGTGTCATCTTGTGCAGCTCGGAGGTCCCCACCAAGTGTGTCTCTAGCAGTATTGTGGCATTCCATGTGGTACGTCCTTTGTCCTTGCAAAGACCCCTTGCAAGGCCTTTGAAATAGCCCTCTTGCAGTTGCACTTCCGGCCTTCTTCATCTGGCCTTTGAGTGTGCTTGTGTAGGACGGGACTCAGGGGTACCGTTCTCACTAATGTCAGCAGAAGAGATCACACAAATATAACAGAAATCACGTGTATTTGCGAGAGCGAGAACCAAGAGAAGACCAGAGTCTGGACAAATGTGAGGAATGTAGATACGAGGCACCGAGTATATGTAGTCCGAATGGATGGGTATGGAACGGTCATGTGAGATGTGTTGCTATAAAGTGCAGGCTTACACTCTCCTCCCTTCAGAGAAATTAGACCCAGGGAAGAGATTTGTGTGTGGGTTGGGAAGTATTGTAGGTAAGATAATGTAAGGCAAGGTCCGAGGAGACGAGAAAATGAGAATAAGAGAGCAATTAGTCTATGAGAAGTTTGAGGCAGAAGCCACCGTGAGCGGGTGGGAAAGAGATAGCCGCGGAAGCAGAGTTGAAGGAGTCGAGAAAGCGGGGTTGAAGGAGTCAAGGAAGACGGCGATGGTTGGTTCGTTGTCTTTTGAGGGTGCGGAGGCGGCGCTTGCATGCTTCCCAGATGTCCAGTGTGGCATTGTCCTGCAGCGTGTGGCCGGGGAGCCATTACATGTCTGTGTTGCTATATCCGACTCAGCAAACCTTGTACTGAACGCCGTGGCCGTGTTTATGCTTGGCGACGATGTTGCAAACCTTATGTTTGCTATTCTCAAGAGGGCTGGGACGGGGGAGGATGTGGTCGGGCTCGACATAGGGCTTCAGGAGGCTTGAGTGGAAGGTGAGGCAAGCCTTTGGGGCGGCATTTGGGATGTCAAGGGTGTAGGTAGACTACTCGGGGTGTGCGGTTACAATGCCATAAGGGCTATCAAAGTGGGAGAAGAACTTCGCCACGCGGTCTTCATCACCGGAGACGTACTCGTGGCAGCAGTGGTAGGTGGAGAGCATCACCATAGAGCCTTTGGTAATTTTCGAGTGTTCCTGGCCGCATTGCTTGTTGGCGCTGGCGGCCTGGTCAACCTGGGTGGCGATGAGATTGTCCCAAGTGTCATAGAACTGTGACTCAATTTGTTTGATGATAGTGGCAGCAGATGCCGTGTCCAGTGCTCCAAAGGTGACAGCACATTTGGCAGCCGTTGCGGCATCGAGAAGGGGTGGGAGTACCTGGGGGCGGCAGCCAGACATGAGCTTGAATGGAGCATAGCCAGTGAATGCTGAGGCGGTGTTGAGGATAGTGAAACACACGGCAGGAAGTGTGTCGGCCCAACCGTCTTAAAGATAATCGACGTGGTGGCAGAGAGCTTCAATGAGTGTCTTGTTGGTGTGCTCGGAAGTGCCGTCGGTTTGGGCGTAGAAGGAGGATGACATGAGCAGCTTGATGCCAGTGAGCTTGTGGAAAGTGCGCCACAGCTGGTTGTCGAACCAGGTGTTGTAGTCGGAGACAATTTTGAGCGGGAGGCCGTTCTCGCAATACCAGTGGCGGAAGAGCAGGTGTGTGGTGCCTTCCGCAGTGAGGGTGCGGTGGCAGGGAACGGCACGGATGTTGCACCCAGTGCGGTTGGTGATGGTCATCAGGAGATCAAACTTCTCGACACCCGAGGGAGGGAGCGGGCCGATGGAGTCAATGGCGATGGAGTTGCCACAGCCGTTGCGAATCGGGAGCAAGTATAGCAGTTCGACTGGCTTAGTGATGGGCAACTTGTTGCACTGGCAGGCGTCGCAGCTAGGGAGGTAGGATTTCTCCAGGTCGGTGTGCATGCTGGGCCAGAAGAAGGAAGTGCGGAGGACTTTATAAGACTTGTCGGTGCCAAAGTGGCCAAGGGTGTCATGAGCAAGCTCAAAGACCAACTGGCATAGCGTGTGTTACGGACACCCGATTATCCATTATCTTTTTCCTTTTCTTTTTTCTTTTTTCAGACTCTCACGTGACTCGGCAATCTCCGTGACTCACGCTTGACTCATCTAGTTCTCACGCCTTGTTTACGGTTGTTTGCCTCGTCATACCTATATAAGACTCCGCCCCCG